GTAGTTGAGATTTATTGGTTTCTGGTTTTGTTATATTCGATGAGAAAACGTGTTTCTGTTGACCATTTTTCTAACCAACCTTGTCCCAACCAAAATCGTTCCAAGAAAGAGATGAGTTGTTGGAGACGGTGAACGGTCCGTTCTCGTAGAACAGAGCAAGTTCACTGCTGCAACCGGGCCCACCGGTTAGCCAAATCACCACTGGATCGGCTTTGTTGCTTCTTGACTCGAAGAAGAAATAGAACATCCTGTCAACAAATACAAACCCGGTTTACTCGTAATACCAATGTAGTAAACCGAGACGGTGCAAACTAGTGAACCGATTTTCTATTTGGGTGGCATTGGATTTATATAAAGGTATGTTAAAACGGTTAAATGCATGAACCGCATCGGTACCAAACCGAATGTTTCCAGATTCAAGACCGGTTGAACTAAACCGGACCGGTTCAGTTCAAGATTTAACGGTACAAGAAATTGGAAGTTACCTTGCAGCTTTAGAATTAGGGAGTTTGTAGTAACCAGCATGGTGGCCGAAATCCTTTAGAGAAGGAGAACCGGAGGAGTCACGACGGTCGATCGCTGCGGGCAAATCGAATTCTCTTTCGACAAGCCTGGGAGCTTCGGAACCGTCTTCAGGGATGACATTGACGTCACGTGTAGGCATCAGATTGAAACCTTTGATTAACCTCTCCGCCGTGAGGGTGGGCAAACTAGCCGAGGAAGAGAAGGATAAGGGGTCATTAGTGATAGATTTGGAACTCGAGGGGGAGAAATGAGAGAGAAGGAAAATACAGAGGAGAAATGAGAGAAAAGATGTCATGGAGTTCATTTTTGTTTTTGTTTTATGTGAGAGAATTGAGTAATGTATTTATAGAGTTGGCTTGTTCGTCTACTACGAAACATCCTGGATCAAAGAAAGAAAAAATGGATATTAATTTCGCTAAAGCATTTTATATTATTAATGTTTGCTTACCAAATTTGTCAATTTTTACTTTTATGTTTGCCACCTCGAAAAAGCTAACCGATTGTTAAGATCTATGATATACACCTTTCTATATTTGAATCTATAGGTGTTTAATCTGGATTCGGTTTGGTTTCGATTCCAACTTTTTGTTAGATACTTTTCAGTTTATAAATACAAATATGTAAAATTAAACATAATCTAAGATAGATAAATATGTTACGATTTCGGTTTATATTCGAGTTTTTTAAAATAAAATATTTGATTCAAGATTGTCTTTTATTTTGGTCTTGGAACGCTTTTCGATATAAAAAAAAATACGAAACTGTTTAAACCATATACTATTAATATTCATATATGATATATTTTTTGGG